GAGCCGCATCCTTGGTGTCATAGGGAGGAATCATGTCCATCATTAATGTCATTGGGAGAAATAGTACCTCATCATTGGTGTCAGTGGGAGGAATAGTGCCCCATCATTGGTATCAGTGGGAGGAATAGTGCCCCATCATTGGTATCAGTGGGAGAAATAGTACCCCATCATTGGTGTCAGTGGGAGGAATAGTGCCCCATCATTGGTGTCAGTGGGAGGGATAGCTCCCTATCATTGGTGTGTCAGGGAGGGATAACACCCCATCATTGGCGTCACTGGGAGGAATAGTGCTCCATCATTGGTGTCAGTGAGAGGAATAATGCCCCATCATTGGTGTCAGTGGGAGGAATAATGCCCCATCATTGGTGTCAGTGGGAGGAATAGTGCCCCATCATTGGTGTCATTGGGAGTAATAGTGCCCCATCATTGGTGTCGTGGGAGGAATAATGCCCCATCATTGGTGTCAGTGGGAGGAATTGTTATGATCCGCCAGGTGGTGCCTCAGGCTGCCAACTGACAGACCTACTCAGAGCGTGGGGTCTAAGCCCGGGCTGTGCTTTCACCAGGGCCCCTGATGGTGGGGATGGACTTGAAACAGTCCCGGGCCAGGTCACGACCTCCGAGCAGGCCCACCAGTGGCCGAGGAGACCTTTGGGGACAGGTACCGGGAGAGCCAGATATGAAGAGGATGGCGGCCCCAGCAGGGTAGTAACGGATCGTGGGCCCGTGAGGGTAAGCGGGGTACAGAATCGGTAGGCGAAGAGTAGTCGGGTCACACGCAGGGTCAGCAGGGAAGTCAGTCCGTAGAATGGTCAGGGCAATCCGGGTCAAACGCAGGAGCAGGCAGAGTAGTCAGGACAATCCGGGTCAATCACAGGAGCAGGCAGAATAGTCAGGGCAATCCGGGTCAATCACAGGGGCAGGCAGCGTAGTCAGGGTCAATCAGGGTCACTAGACGGGTGCAGGAACTCAGGATCACAGGAAGACCTTGCGGCAATCTGTGACAGTGCAGGGCATCTTTAAATAGTGCGCCCTGCACTGTCATTGGCCGGCTAGGACGCGTCCCCGGCTGTCATTGGACGCCTGAGGCGCGCCCGCGGCTCCTACTGCGCATGCGCGGCGTCCTGTCAGCCGCGGCTCGCCGGGACCTAGTGCCTGTGTCCCGGCGCGATCTGCCGCCAATGCGCATGCGCGGGGGACAGAGCCGCGATCGTGGACCACAGAGCCGCGATCCCTGACATTGCCCCCCCCCAACGGGCACCCTCCGGGAGCCCCACTGATCTCTCCACCGCGGGGTGACCACGACAAAATTCCCGGATGAGCCTGGGTGCGTGAACGTTCTGGGCGGGTTCCCATGAGTTCTCCTCAGGGCCATAACCCTTCCATTTTATCAGGAACTGTGTCTGGCCCCCCCTCCTTCGGCAACTGAGGATAGTCTCCACTTCATATTCCTCCTGGTCACCTATGGTGACTGCCTCGGGAGGTCTGGATTCACGGTCCGGGAAGGGATCCGGTCTGGATGGCTTCAGGAGAGACACATGGAACACAGGATGTATCTTGAAGGTCTGCGGAAGCTCGAGTT